TATGTTTTGAGAAATTTAAAAATGAAATTTTTGTTTGAAAATTTGAGTTGTTACATTGTTCGTGGTCGTACATAACATAATCACACAACCCATATAAAAAGGAAGTTTGTGAGAAAAAATATGCAAGACTAATAAGGTAACTCCAAACAAAGAGCTAAGTGGCATCGATACTATCTGAACCACTACAAAATTAATTTAATAAATATAACACTTAAATTTCTTTCATGTAGAGTATTCTCTCTTTTAATTCACACTTCAGGGCAAAAGACCATTTTACCATTCAATTCATGGTCTATGACTCCATCTCATCAAAGTTAACCAAAAGTCAAACTTGGTAAAAGTCAATGGTCAACGGCTCACTGCGTCGTGGTTAAGTCACGACAAAGCAGTCGCAGGACTCACTTATCTACCGCATCGTGGCCAATCCTTGGTCGTGTCGCGGTTGTTCAAGCTGAACACTTCTCTCATTAAGCACTTAATCTGTCAAGTCCAAACCTCATACTTTCTAGAAGGATTTAATACTCACATAAGGTTCATAAAAATCACAACTTTATAGACATGCATGTCCTTTGCATGTTTCATACCACTTTAGATCAAAATGGTGACAAATATGGTCATAACTTCATGCAGCCCAGTAAATGGATATTAGAGACCAGATCCAAAACAACAATTACTCATAGGACCTTATGGAACAGTAAAGTTGCAAACTTTACTCCAACACTTTATCCAAAACTCAAAGAATGAAAAAATAAGCTTAAATATCAAGATCTAAATAATAATAAGCACAAATGTTAAGTCTTAAAGTCTTACAATGATCCATAAGATGCTCAAAAGATTGGATTCAGCTTGCTTGATGCTTCCTTGCTTCACCAACACATTTCTTTCTCCTTTTAAAGTGCAAGAAACAAACAAATGAGGCTCAAAAGTATAGAGGTGAGGTTAGGGTTTGATGAGGGCTCTCTGGGGTGATGGAGGTTGATGGTGGAGGAAATTCTAGCCATCACATCCTTTAAATAGGGCTCAAGGTCCAAGACCTAGGGTTTTGAGTCTAGTCGCTACTTAAATGATGTGACAACGCCGTGGTATGTACCATTATCGCATCACGGTTCCCCACAAACCCTAAATCGTCCAACTTAAACCATACAATAGCAAAGGATAAACCATACCTAAAATGAAGTGCTACAAATAACACATTCAATTATATAGAAGAAACAACGTTGGTGATAACATTATTTCACATGCATTTGTAAAAACATTTATGTTGATTTTTTACTAAAATAAAAAACATTAAAATAATTCAAACATTATATAAAGAATTTTAGGTATTAAATTGTTTTTTTTACTATTCCCGCCATCAAGAACAATAAAAAGAATATTATAATCAAGTTTTTTAAAAGCGTCTCTAATACTAGTATTATAGAATCTCCCTATCTAATAAAAGAATAGCTACTTTGTCATGTATCAATCATTTAAAACTTCTCGTTAATTAAATTGTCACTTGTCACTCTTTGGTTTTGTCTCAAAAAAGAAATTGTCACTTGTTTCCTCATTATAGAATCTCCCTATCTAATAAAAGAATAGTTACTTTGTCATGTATCAATCATTTAGAACTTCTCATTAATTAAATTGACACTTATCACTCTTTGGTTTTGTCTCAAAAAAAATTGCCACTTGTCACTCTTTGTTTTTTCCTCATTAATTAAAAATTTAAAATGTCATTAATTGCCTCATCCCTTTTACACAAATGTAACCGTCATCACAAGGTTAAATTGTAATACTTATTACCTAATTTATTATTATTATTATTATTATTATTAGGACTAACAATCACATACAACAATCACGCCACCTTTATATAATTCCTTCAATTTTATAAATCTCTGCATAAAACCCATCATTTTCTTACTACAGTTGTAATGTAATTCAAACATTCAATCTTATATATAATTTAATTTTGAAATAAAAAGAATATAAACAACTATATTTGCTCTTATATATATTTTATTATATATTATAGTTATTGTTTTTTCATTAGTTCACAAATAAATATTGTATGATATATATATATATATATATATGTTCAAAATATATTTCACATATTCATTTAAAAGAACGATTATAATTTTATATAACTAGAAAATATATTTATTTACTAGTAATTTATTTATAATAATTGATTCGTAATTATAACTTTTTTTACAAAAATTTAATTTATTTTATAACCATGGTTCCCACGGGTTATAACCTAGTGTTTAGTAATCATAACAACAAAAGCAAAACCATATTTTAAAATTTTAAATACACAAAAACCATGGATCACAATTAAACAAGTTAGATAAACAAACACAATCATATTTTGTTCAGAAAACTACCTCAATAAATAATAATATGAACCAATGATGGAGGGAGTGGTTTCATATTTGTTAAGGTCCATATAAGCATCATATTAGATTTATCACATTACAGCAAAAATTTATCATTTACATGGCATGGGTTATCACACTTGTCATGGTAATTATTTTTTAATATTTAAATTTATATAAAAAATCAATATAAATAAATTATTTTAATAAAAACTTAAATTTTATTAACTTGAAAGGAAATTACACACTTGAAATTAAGAACATAGCACACTTGAAATTAAACTAACACACAACACCACTAGAAATTTAAACACGCAGCCTACTAGAAATTATAAGACAATGAGCTTAAATTTGACGGCATTTGAAGCACTGCCTCACAACTTGCCAGAACTCAACAAGTCAGAAATGTTTGTCAGTTTCTACACGGTAAGCCTTAAGAGCATTAACTAGCAAAGTATTTTCATTTTCATCATGCTCGGCTTCATGCATCACTCTATGAAACACATTGTTAAATTGAATTGATACTGCATTTGCATGTGTCCATTTGAAGAAGAGTTGCTCTTTATTTCGAGGTACAACGATTTAGCGGTTATATCCTTCAGTGACTCTCCTCCAAAAAGTAGTTGAATGGAGGTTAATGGTGATTTAACATTCTGTTACATTAACTCATGAACGAACCAGTAAGATCTCTTCTTCAGGTAACCAAATACGAGTTATTTTTAGTGAGGAGATTTTGAAGAGAGAAAATAAAAAGGGTAGAGAAGTATAATGGAAAAGTTTTGAATGTAATGAACAATGTAGATTTATGTTATTATAGATTATTTAAATTTTGGACATTAGAAAAAAATGGTTAAAGATGATATTTTTTTGAAAATGGGTTCTTTTTTGGAAATGAGAAAATGGATTAAATGGTTAAAAATGTTAATTTCCCTTCTCTCATCGGTAGATATCTACCGAGTTGCCTTGCCAAGACAAGGTCCAGTATTTACCAAACCGTGTCAAGTATTGCTGATGCCCACTCCGTCAGGTCTAAGATCAAACCCACACGGTTTCTTTTAGCTTCTTTTGTGAGGATTAATATTGATGCATGGGGAGCAAACTAGGGTTTCTATGTTTCTTGTCTATTGTATATAATGATCATTAAAACTCTAGTTTTTTTCAAACCTGAATGTGCCAACTAAATATAAAAAGCACAACCCATTTAATCAAATATTCATTATCTAAAAGTTTTAATCAATCAACCAATTTTTATTTAAGTATTAATAAATAAATTTTATATTTATTTATTTCATGTTTGAACAATAAATAATAAACAACTATTTATCTATTAATTATTTTAAGTTGGTGACTAATAAATATATACCCTATAAATATTATTATTTGTTTATTTCCTTTTAGTGACCTTGTGACCCTACAGATTCACATAGGAATAGTGGAGTTTTTGACAAAATTAATGTTATTGAAATTTACCAATTTAATATAGTTTCAAAAATATTTATCAAACTAATGTTTTTCTCATTTTTCTTGTATTTTAGTTTTTTATGTTTTTTTTAATATTAATTTTTATTTTATTTATTTCAATTTTTTTCTTTTTTTAATATATATTTACCATAGTATAAAAAACAAAACAAAAAACAAAAACAAAATAAAAATAAAAATAAAATCTCATGCATTATCGTCAATTAAAAATAAAATATTTTAAAACAATTATGGAATTCGATAAGAAAGAAAAAAAGATACCTTCTTACTTTCTTTTTTGTAAATAAAAATCAAAATAATAAACAGAACAAAACATTTTTATGTACATGAAACTCACCCGTCTTAATTACCTACGAGGTACAATGAAACAAAAGGAAAAATATTTTTAAATAATTCTGTTTGTGCTCGACTTTTTAATATTTGTATGAATGGATTTGTTAGGTCTTTCTGTTTCAAAAGAAATTGGAAACGATAGTTTAATAATATATCATATTATTTTAATTTTTGATAAGTTTTTTAATATTAAACTTGGTCTTAACCAAAATCTAAATTTGGATATTTGAATAACGGCCTAGGGAGTGGGGTCCTTATGAGAAAGTTGAATATCTACTTCGTTCTATTGTGCATGATTATTGAAGTCAGCCTCCCTATGCTTTTGTTTTGGCCGGAGGTTTCAAATATATTTCTTCAGGTTTCTCGATTGCATTATTTGGTCTGATTCCTTTTTTAGAACATTGCAACTTGTTACATCATTTGTCAAATGTTCTATGGAATTCACACTATTTGTCATTGTCAAATGTTCTGATTTGGTTGGTTTCCTTTGATTGGTCCTTTTCCTTTGCCATTGCTTATGGTGATTACATCTTATTTTGTGTTAGAATGCTAAAAACGATGAGCCAAGTAAGATTTTAACCAAACTGTTCCTCTATTCCACCATAATCAATCTAAGTTCTATTTTCGATCATAAACACTACAAACATTTTTTAAAAAACTTCAAAAATGGTACCAAAAATCAAAATCATTTGACCATGTCGACTATCATTTTAGTCATTTGCTCCAAGAAATCACTTCATATTACAATACATATCCAAACCACTTTAGACATATAAACATAACATAACAAAAATTTGCTGTTTTTTTTTTTCAGGTATCTCATTTTTATTCGCTCTTCACAACCACCACCATTTTGCTTAAATAAATAAAACTTAACGTCGTTTTGTAATGACCTTTCAAGCCATTTGTATGTATAAGTAAAGAAAACTTCATGTCAGTATAAAGGTGACTCATTGGTTGGCACGTTTCAAGTAGACTACACATGCGATACCTGCAATGACAGCTGCACTTGCCAAAATTCCAGTCTGTAAATGGTTTGATTTTGAGATCTGTGTTTGTTGCTCTTCTACAACCATATCTAATTGTGATGATTCTCTTTTCATTTGCCCAATTTCCAAGTTGTCTAAATGCAATCTCAACACCTAAAATTAGATACAACATCATCATATAATAAGAATTAAGAAACAACTGTTAACATATGGTAAAAGTTTGTGCTATGCTACCTTTTGTCCTGCTGACCTGGCATGATTAACAGCACCAGCCAGATCACTATCTGTAGTTAGCAAAACCCTATCGCCCTCATCATCATCATACTAAAAACACAAAAATGGTTGATTAATCTGATTTTTTTATAAAACAAATTATAATAATAAAAATGGTAAATACCAAAAGTTGAGGAGGATTTTGATCAAGACTGCCACCCATCCTTTGAGCAACAGCAGAAACCAGCTCAGAAAGATTTTCAGTGCCTGAATTGTTTAGAATTTGATTAAATTAAAAAACTTAGGGTTACATGAAAGAAATAAAACTTACCAAAATTAAATCTGTGTACACGTCCCCTTAAGTCTTCAAATTTAAAGGCAAAAGAATTCCCAAGACCAAGAGACGGATATGCCCTCCCTCCTTCCACAGGATCTGATTGCATAACTACTGACATAGACATTTCACTGCAAAATAAAAATATAATTACATTCAGACAATACTTTAAACTACAGATTCTAAGCCAAAATATATACTTAACTTGGATTTTATTGGAAGGGGGGGAGAGGGGGATACCTGTGACTGTCATCATAATCATCTGGTGGGTCTAGGTTGAGTGCTGAATCCCAGAACTTCTGCATCACTGTGTTTGCCACATCAGCACCTGAATTACTTTCAGCCTGGAAAAGATTAAACAAACATCCCCTTTAAAGACAACTTAAATCATAGTTTTTAAAGTTTAGTAGGCAATTGAACAGTTCACGAAAGTTGAAGGGTTTTTGTAACAATATCCCAAAAGCTAATCTTTAAAATCAAAAAAGTTCAAAATAATACAACTACTATATCCTTTCATTGGCTTTGTGCTATGTGCTTAATACAATATGACTTCATATAAAACGCATAATAAGGAAGAAAAAAAATGATTATTAAGTATAACAAGTCTACAATTACCATTGAAATAGCTGCATGAGTTATCTGCAGGACATCCACACATGCTACAACATTTCCATCTGCCAAAAGAATATATAAAATTATGATGCAAATTGATGTTAATTTTTCTATTTCAAAAGGTAAAAGTTAAAACTCACCTTTGTCTACAACAGGAAGATGTAAGAATTTCCCATCATGCATTATATGCAATGCCTCAAGAATCGATGTGTCCACAGTTGCATATTCTGGATTTGGTGTCATAACCTTAAGAAAGAACAATTTTAATAAAAAAAATGTAAACATTTTCCTAATATTCAAAAACATATATTCCAAAAGAAACCACAAGAGTTGTTTTGCAATAAAGTTTACTAATCATCAAAATGATAAGAGGAAAATTTTCTTATATACCCTTATTTTATCTACTAATTCATTTAATTGGCAAATACTTTTTTAACAAAATCTAGTAAAACACTCAACACAGTCAAAAGTTATTACCACAAACTTGAAATGATCAAGCATTGTTAGTGCTATTTATTATTAGTACTATTAGTATTAAGATATCACAATAAAATCACCAGACAATTTAGAAACTTAAAATGTACTCTTCTAACTTTTAGCAACACAATTAAAGTTCTTAAAAAATTAAACAGTTTCAGTAGAAAACCTTTTCAACAAATGTCAACTCGGGAGGAAGATTGTGCGCCACAACTCTCATGAGAAGATCCTTTGAACTGCAAAATGCAAGCAACCAAAAACACTATTATACCCTTCATATACACACATACCCTTACTTTATAAACTAAAAAATAAAAACCCTAAAACATTAACAATGAATCAAATACATAGTTAAACAATAATCTTACGTTAATATGCCCTGAATATTGTTTCCATTCATAATGATAACAGAATTAACTTGCAATTCCTGCATCCTTTTAGCAGCAACAGAAACTGGATCTGAACCTAGAACAATTGCAACCCTGTGACACAGTTTTGCTACCGAATTCAGTGGCTATTTTCAATGATAGGGATGAGAAGGGCATTTACGTCTTTTGCACAGACAAGAGAAGTGAGGCTTTTCGCCCACCTTTTTGAGTGAGACAAAAAGATTGTAACAATTCTAGTCATGTGTAACAAAGATAAAAGAAGTACTTGGAATTTTCTGAAATGATGGTTGACAAAGAGGGCTTGAACATCCGATCCCTTAATGTCTCTATAAAAGCAGAAGGTGCTGAAATTTGGAAATGAATTTAAAATTATCAGTCATAGTAAGTAAAAAGGTCATAATGGTCAATAAACAATTGGCCATTGTGACAATAACCTAAAAAAAAGTACTCGTCTACTCGAACAACTTTTTTTATATAGACAATCATGAAATGCAATCATTTTGCTTAAATGAATATAATAGTTGATCATAATATCATTAAGAACTTAATTTTATATAAACATTTATTGACAATATTGAACATGGATTTAAGTAATCACCAGTGAAATTATTTCCCCATTGGCGTTCTACTCCTTCAACAGCTGCAGCAATAGCACTCCCCTGTTCAGCAGCTTTTTCCATTCTTGATATAGCATCATATAGGCACTTTGTGATATCCAATAATGCAATAACTTCACCATTTTCAACAACTGGTAGATGCCTAAATTTTCCTGTTTTCATAATACATGAATAAATAATATATGAATTATCAAATATGATTACAATGAAGTTAACAAAACTGACTAAAGCAATTTAGGATGTTATAAATACTTGTGGGAAACTTCTAACTTGTTTAACTCATTTCCATTTTCACTAAAAATAATTAATTTTCGCGTTATGAATAAAATATATCCTAAATTGATCCACGTACATAAATGGGTTAAAGTTACTTTGAGATATGCAACTTATGCTTGCCTATTTATACTTAATAGAAGCATAATACTTGTAATTTGTAGATAACAATAGGGTTCTTGAATATGGGGTACATCACCTTCAAGGATGATGATGAAATAAATGGAACTCTATATAATAAAAAATAAAAAGATGAAAATAAAAACTAACCTTGAACCATTTTCTGAAGGGCATCAATCGCCAAAGAATCAGAAGAAACAAAAGTAGGATTCCTTGTCATAACTTTAGATATTATTGTCTGGTCTGGTCTTAACTCGTCTGCAAGAACTCTGGTTGCTATATCCTAAAGTCAATGAAAGTCATTAGCCCAAAAACAAAAAACAAAATCATGTAAGAAAAAACAAATTAGAAAAACAAGTTGTTGTTATTGACTTTATTCAAGAAGGACATAACAAGTTGTACTGCATTTGGCATGCATTGAACTCGGACTGATGTCAAACAAAGATTGCAACTTTGTAGATCGTTTGTTCAAAAGACGAAAATGCCCTAATCATCCTCATCGCTGAGAATAGACTACAAAACATATTACAATTTTTCAAACCTTGTCTGTGACTATTCCGGAAAGCAAAGCATTAGAATCTGTTAATAACACAGCATCAACACGACGAGCTGCCATTCTCCTACAAGCTTCTGACACAGTTGTCCCTTCTGGTATTGTGAGGGCCTTCGACAACCTAAGCTTCTTCACTGTCCTCTCACCACTAATCAATCAAAAAACAAAGTTTAATCAGTTTACCATGTAGAAACTAAATAAGGAAAACGCCATAGAGAAATGAATAGTTTTCCAGAAAAAGAACAAGCTAATAAAACAAACAGAAGACATAAGAACATATATACGCCATGTGCATAGAAATGAACTTGAAAACAAGTTTAAATTACCCAGACGAACGTGAATTCCTTCGAACAAACTTCAATTAACCTGTTCTTTTGCTATGTAACATATATAAAAGTGATGAATATGATTGAACTTACGAGGGAGTAGGCGACGGGGATTTCAGTGGATAGCCATTGGTGGCTCCGGTGGAGGTTGTTCCATTTTCCGATTGAGTTGATAACGATTTTTTTATGGTAGTAGACGGATTGTTTCGTCTATACATTGAACTGTTCCTTCGAGGAGCTGGAGGCCCGTGCCCGCTCATTTTGTTGCTCTGAGTCTTCCCCCTCCGATGAATACGGTGATAAGGGTTTTGATGGAGGTACGAAATTGAGAAGGGTTTTTCAAGATTCCATGGAGGGGAGAGGAGAGGGCCTCGTCGATTTGGCTTTTTTGGGGCCCTAACCCTCTTTTTTTGTTCCTGTTCTTGTGTTGCGGCTGATCTCAGACAAAAATCAACTCCGAATAGTTGGAAACATGGGAGCAAGTGACCTCACGCGAGCACGTTGCCACTTTTGGTAAACGATAGATGGGCTTTAGAAGTACATGTTACAAAGTTAAAATATATTATTAGATAATTGAACTTGTAATACAATATAATATAATTATTATATTGCAAAGAGTAAGTACATGTTTACTACCTAACGTTTCTATTTTATTGTATCTTGTGTCCAATTATTAATCATTAATACAAACTAAACTAGCAAGGTTGATCCCTAGCACTTGACATCGTCTCATTCTTCATGTTAACCTCCTTCGTATGCAAGGCACATGAGGGAATTTTAGTCCTTTTACCATGCTATCTTCCATTCTCTTTGTTTATGAAGAAGGGCTTGATGGGTTTTCATTTTTGTTTTGGTTTGAATGGTAAAACATCCCCCTTTAAAATTGTATTTTATTCGTGTGGAATATCAATTGCGATACGAATATTGTGGACATCCAACAACCTTAGACGAAGATTTTGTTCATGATCCCAAGTTGAACTCGGCGAGGCCCTCTCCTCTCCCCTCCATGGAATATCAAGAGTAGAGTTGAAGGGCTAAAAGTGTAAATTTGAAAGGGCAACTCGGCGAGTAGGGTCGCGTATTAAGTGGCCAACTCGGTGAGTAGGCGTTGTGTGAAGAAAATCCTAAATTTGGGGATGAGCCCTATATAAAGGACATTATACCCTCTCCCCAGCCTCTTTGATCTCACTTGAAGTCCAGAAACCCTAGATACGTGATTGTGGAGGATTTTAGTGCATTTGGAGCTTGGGGAAGTGATTGTTGAAGAAATCTTGAAGGAGTAGAGACTTGGATCAAAGGGCTTTGCAAGGATTCGGATTAACCTTCTCTTGGAGCATCCTTTTGATGTATTACTTCATTGTTTAAGCTGCTATTATCTAGATTCATCATTTTTGGAGGTGTTAGAGATCATATCTTTTGATGTATTGGAGTTTAGAGGTTAGATCTGAGGTTGCTACCTCAGATCTGGAATGGAGGAGGGTTAGAATGCATAAAGGTCCCTATTTTTGAGTGATTGATGGAGCTATCTTGTCCCAAAACCCAAACCCTAGAGTGAAAATGCCTAGATCTCTTTGGATTCACGTAAAGATTGCCACTTTACGTGATGGATGGCCTTAGGAGGGGTAGATCTATGGTTTGGATCATCTGCATGACTTGGAAAGCCTCTGTATGGATTCAGACCCGGTGGTACTCGGCGAGTCACATGGGTAGACTCGGCGAGTTGCTTGAAGAAAGGTTGGAACTCGGCAAGTTGGAAGAACAACTCGGCGAGTTGGATAAAGATGGCCTGGAACTCGGTGAGTTGTAAGAACAACTCGGCGAGTAGGTTGAAGATAGTGGTAGACTCGGCGAGTTTGTTCTTGGACTCGGTGAGTCTGGTCGTAGGGTCCAAGTTTCTTTTGGATGGGCTGTGACTCGGTGAGTTGTGTGCGAGTGGACTCAGAGTTGTTGGACTCGGCGAGTCTCGGGGTGACTCGGCGAGTTGGGTCGCGAATTGAAGGAGGTTCTGTGTATGGGGACTCGGCAAGTCATCGGGTTGACTCGGCGAGTAGAGTCAGTCAGGGGTAGACTTTGACCAAGGGTTGACCAATTGATTTCCAGGGGTATTTTGGTAATTGTTGAATATTGTTTTAAGTTCAGTGTATTGGTGGTTGGCGAGTGGTGGAGATCCTACCAGTAGTCGGAGCAGCTTGAGTTATCCGTTCAGTCAGCAGTTTCGAGGTGAGTTATCCTCACTATATCAACAGGGTCTAAGGCACCAAGGTCGGCCCTTTATCGGATTGAGATCCGGGTATCTGTTGTTATGTTATTGTTTTGATATGTTTGCATCCTGGTAGTTAGGATGGTATTCGTTAGAGACCTGGTTAAGGTCGGTATCCTGGTATATAGGATTATGCTATGCTAGTGACCGGTTAGGTCGGTATCCTGCTTAGAGTATGTTGTGTTACGTGATCTACTAGATTGGTTTGATTGAATATGAATTGTTATGTGATTGTATGTTTATGTGCACATGGTTGTTTGGACTGGAGTTGGTTGAGGCGAGTCCTGCTTCATGATGTAGGCCAAGATACCCAGGGTGGACCGGTTGTTCCGAAGGCCCAACGAGCGGTCCAGATAGGTTGTAGGCCCCACGAGGGCGGACCAGACGTGCCGAGGCTCGGAAAGTGGGACCAGGGCGACTGAAGGCCCGATGCGGGCGGACCAGTCATATTGTAGACTCAGAGAGTGGACCAGGTGGGTTAAAGGCCCGGTGCGGGCGAACCAACCACACTGCAGACTCGAGGGACATGACTGGACTCGGAGGGTGGACCAGGTGAACTGAAGGCCCGACACGGCGGACCAGTCTCACAGTAGACCCGATATGCATGGTTGTTCTGTGATTCGATATGATATAGCATGTTATGTGTATGGTATACGTGGTTGGTATTTTGGGGTATCTCACTAAGCTTTCGGGCTTACAGTTGTGAGATCGAAGAACCGCAAGAAGGAGCTGAGGGCTTATGACTTTTCATGGTTGGATCTGGGTGCCATTTATTGGCGGGGCACGCAGTGTTTTGATGGAGGAGGCGCATACATCGAGATTCTCGATCCATCCCGGGGCCACTAAAATGTATTTGGATCTGAAGAGAGACTATTGGAGGCCTTGTATGAAGAGAGATGTTGCGTGGGTTGTAGAGAGGTGCTTAACTTGTCGTCAGGTTAAGGCCGAGCACCAGCGGCCGCATGGCAAGTTGCAGCCACTTGAGGTTCCCTAGTGGAAATGGGAACAGATTTCTATGGATTTCATCACCAAACTGCCAAGAACCCCAAGGGGTGTCGATGCAATTTGGGTGATTGTGGACCGATTGACGAAAAGTGCTTACTTCCTTGCTATCAGTGAGAGTTCTTCCGCAGAGAAGTTGGCAGAAATATATGTGAGGGAGGTGGTGTCTCGGCATGGGTGCCGATTTCGATTGTGTCAGATCGAGATGTACGTTTTACTTCCGGGTTCTGGAAGAAGTTTCATGAGGAGTTGGGTACGAGGTTGCATTTCAGCACTGCTTATCACCCTCAGACCGACGGTCAGAGTGAGCAGACTATCCAAACACTCAAGGACATGCTTCGAGCATGTGTATTAAACTTCGGAGGAAGTTAGGACACGTATATGCCTTTGGCTGAGTTTTCCTATAACAACAGCCACCATTCAAGCATCGATATGCCTCCCTTTTGAGCTGTTGTATGGAAGGAGGTGTCGGACTCCCATTTGTTGGGGAGAGGTAGGACAACGTGTGATGGGTAGTACGGAGATAGTACTCCAGACGACTAAACAAATTCAATAGGTCAAGCAGAGGTTGTTGACAACCCAGAGTCGCCAGAAGAGCTACGCTGATAGGCGTCGCTCAGAGCTCGAGTTTCAGGTTGGTGACTTCGTTCTCCTGAAGGTATCACCTTGGAAAGGTGTGATTCGATTCAAGAAGAGAGGAAAGTTGGGACCCCGATATATCGGTCCATTCAGGGTGACATCTAGGGTGGGCAGGGTAGCGTATCGGTTGGAGCTACCTGTCGAGCTGAGTCGAATTCATGATACATTCCACGTGTCTCAGTTGAGGAAGTGTATTGCCGATGAGTCAACAGTGGTTCCATTAGAGGACATTCAGGTGGATGCGAGCCTGAACTACGTTGAGAGGATGATCGCGATCCGAGATAGGAGGATCAAGGTTCTGAGGAACAAGGAGGTGTCCCTGGTTCAGGTCCAGTGGCAACATCGGAAGGGGTCTGAGCTGACTTGGGAGCCGGAGTTAGAGATGCGGGAGCAGTATCCAGAATTGTTTGCAGAACGAGACTTTCGGGTGCGAAGTCTGATTCTAGTGGGGGGAGAATTGTAACGCCCGGTTTACCAGGTACATTAATTAATATTATAATTTGAATTGTGTTGAGGTAACTTGACGAGTTGGTGCTTAGACTCGTCGAGTCAGGTCGTGAATGGGTGACGTGGAAAATAATTAGACTCGACGAGTCATGGGAATGCACTCGCCGAGTTAGAGCTGGCGAAAGAAACCCTAATTTCTTGGGTTTGGGACCTATTTAAGGACCCTTATAGCCATCATTTGCGGCTACCAGACCCTTGAGAGAAACCCTAAGAGTGCTTGAGCGTTTGTGAGAGGAAAGAAACCATTATTTGATCTTTGTGGGTTGGTTTTGCAAGAAGAAGGTGGTTCCAGCTTAGAGGAGGCCAAGAATGTTGCATATATGTGGATCTCAAGCAAAAAGCATCATCCTTCAGGTAGCATATCGATCCTTTTTCTGTTTTGTTGAAGAATCCATAGATCTAGGGTTTTATATACCCTTTATTAGAATTATTGTTGGATATATGGTCCCTTATCATGTTTAGACTTCGAATCTGGACCCATAGTGGTATAGAGAGCTTTATCCATCTTGCTTTATGATGAGTTATGGAATAAATGGACTTATGATGTTGTATTTGGGGTAAATGCTTCAAGTAGAGTTATTTGGACGATGCATGAGTATCAAGTTTGAACCTTTACGTGTTTATTAAGCTTAGGAAGGTCAGATCTATGGATTAGAGGAACAGATCTGACCTTAAAAGGCCATTTGAGTTCGAGCATGGAATAAACTCGCCGAGTCCATGAGCAAACTCGACAAGTCAGACCGGGTTGTCCCGTGACACACACAGTTGGTGACTCGCTGAGTTGGGGGAGTTACTCAGTGAGTCAGAGAGGGGATTTAGGGGACTTGAATTCACGTTTGAACTCGCCGAGTCAGTGCCTGACTCGACGAGTTGGGTCAAAGCGGTGACCATTGACCAACGTTGACCAGAGTTGACTTGTGTTGACTTAAGGGTATTAGTCAAATTAAGTCAGGAAGGTATTAATTAGAGATGTATTTATGCTATAGGAGGAAGCTAGGTCGGAGGATTGAGCGCGAGTGATTATCTGATATCTTCGAGGTGAGTCATCTCACCATGCCTTACCCGATAGGATGGTTATGTGTGACCGGAAGGTCTTATGTGTATGATAAAAGATGTGATGCATGTTGTATATGTAATATGTTATGACATGAATATGATGATATGGATCGGAAGGTCAACAGAGTATGGACCGGAAGGTCAACAAAGTTATGGGATGGAAATCCCCTGAGACACTTGGATCGGAAGATCCCATATAACTATGGTCTGGAAAGGCGTATGTGCTGTACATGGTATTTTAGGGAGCTCACTAAGTATTATTGCTTATTTGTGTTATGTGTTTCAGGTACCAGTGATGATCGCGGGAAGACGCGAGCATGATTAGCACACACTTATGGTGGAAATGTTTTGAGATTATGGGGTTTTTGATTTGTACTTATGTTATGTAAAAACAATTGATACACGTTTTCGAGAATTATGATTGGGGTATTTTTATAAAATTAAAATGAAAAAATGTTTTGAAATTTCACGGTGTGACATATACATACCATGCTTATCATAGATTATTGAACTTGAATATTATATTGACAATATAAGACTTGGATTTACACCAAAACAAAGAACAAATGAGCACTAATTAGATAAAAGAAGTATTTTCGTTTGGTTTAATATATTTGTTCCTATAGAAGTAAGTATTTATAAGCTAACAACACTTGTGTGAAGGGAATTTCAAAAGTTAAATTAAATCCTATAAGTTAAATAGTTTTGAAAATTTCAAATGAATGAGATTAAAGAATATATATATATATATATATATATATATATAATATATATATATATATATATATATATATATATATATATATATATTTTCCTATTAAACTTCCCATTTGAACCCATTGGAGATGTCCTAAGAACCAAAACTTCTCTTAAAATTATCAAAAAAAAAAAAAAAAAAAAAAAACCCTTTAAAAACTACACCAAAGCAAACAAAACATAGACAACTTATCAATGACAAAGAGATACATTCTCATCCATTAATACCATATCAATACTTTTCAATTTAAACGACTTCAAGTAAACATGTTGTTTCCATAAACGAACATCAAACAATCGATATCAATATTCAAATTACTAATCAACATGAACCCATCTCAAACACTTTAACAATTCTAACAATTATACATAAAATTGACATACCACATGTGTTATTTATATAGACAACAAGCATCAACATCACCTATTGAGGAGAACAGTCGCTTACAATATAGTTTCATGTCACAATAAATCGAATAAATCGAAGGACATATAAAAAGCTCAAAATAACACCCACAAGAACCCGTAACCGTTTCCCACCTAAGAGTCTCCACACATTAGAAAATAACCTTTTACCAAAAGTTGGTTTTTACAAATAATAACGTACCAAGTGGTCTTGAAATACTGAGTATTCCAGAAATGCTATAACTATTTGGAATAAAATAATAACTTGTATTGATTTGTTAGATAGGATGCATAAATTGGTACGAATCCAAACAGTTGCATATTTTCTTTCTCGACTGTATTTGCAATTTCTCAGGAATCGAGCACGAAGTCAAGAGGTGTCAATCAGCCAATCAGGCAAACCGCTATAGCCCGCGAAACCTCGGACTATGGACCCATGCCCTAAGACAATTTGGGGGTGTAAGAATTTTTGCTAGATTTTGGGAGAGAAGGATGAGCAACAGAGGTAATAGCAGTGGAAGTGGCAGCAACAGCAACATCAGTTCTTCCAATCGCCCTGAATGGTTGCAACAGTACGATTTGATCGGTAAAATTGGTGAGGGAACTTACGGTCTTGTGTTCCTGGCGAAGATTAAATCCAATCGGAGCAAGTCTATCGCGATTAAGAAGTTCAAGCAGTCCAAAGACGGCGATGGTGTTTCCCCTACGGCAATTCGCGAAATCATGGTTCATTTCTTTCTCTCCCTCTCTCCCACACGTATTTTGTTTTCTCTTTAATTTCAGGTTATGATAGACTAGAAGGCCATTGATCCTGCTTTCATTTCATTTTTGGTAACAATAATGTTAATGTTTCTTATAATTTTCTGGCCTTTCTATACATAATCAAGCTTAATTTTGGTTCTTGTATGTGTTGTGCTCCAGTTCATGTATAAAACAAACGTTATATTTCTCCATCCCCTGAAATGACTTATTATGGATTTACCTGTTTTATGAGAAAGGGATTGAGTAATATTGCATAATATATCTGTTGAGCTCATAAACTTCACATTTTTATCAAGCAATCTCTTTCTTCATTTAAAGAACAGAAGCCTTTGACGCTTTGTTATTCCTTTATTTCATGTTTTTTTAGTACTCTGAACCCATTGAAGTGAACATGTTACAATGTTGATGCAGTTGCTTAGGGAGATAACCCATGATAATGTGGTAAAACTGGTGAATGTGCACATCAATCATATCGACATGTCACTCTATCTGGCTTTTGATTATGCAGAGCATGACCTCTATGTGAGCATATTATCTACCTTCTTATTTTACTTTCTTTTATTTTTCAAAACACATTGTCATTTCTTGCATTTAACCCTTTCTTTCCATAGTAAAATTGAATAAACTTATGGGGTTTTGTACTCTACACCTTGATTTACTTTCTTTTTGTGTTTAAACTTTAAACACCAGGAAATTATTAGACATCACAGAGACAAAGTCAACCAAGCTATCAACCCATACACAGTGAAGTCAATACTCTGGCAATTGCTTAATGGGCTAAATTATCTTCACAGGTAAGTGAAATTCATGAAGCTATTCCTTTTGGTTTCATAACAGTAACACTTACATTTATCAAATCTTATACAGCAACTGGATTATGCATCGAGATCTTAAACCCTCCAATATTTTGGTAAGATTGTATCTTTTTTCATGTTTCTTGGATTACATGACATTTTTTTAATTTGTGTACTTTAATCATATAGGTAATGGGTGATGGAGAAGAACAAGGAGTTGTAAAAATTGCTGATTTTGGACTTGCTAGAATATATCAAGCTCCACTGAAGCCATTGTTTGATAATGGGGTAAGTTTTTAAAAGGCAATAGTATTTTAGTATTTACATAATTACATATAATATTAAAAAAAAAATAATATGAAAATTCTTTCCATTTCTATTGGCAGGTTGTTGTAACCATTTGGTATCGTTCACCAGAGTTGCTCCTTGGAGGGAAACACTATACTAGTGCAGTTGGTATGAAACTTTTCCCTCCAAATTCTATTTTTCTACTATTATTTATTTATTATTTAATATTATTAGATATGTGGGCTGTTGGCTGTATATTTGCTGAGCTTCTGACATTGAAGCCATTGTTTCAAGGACAAGAAGTTAAAGCCACACCAAACCCTTTTCAGGTAACAAAAAATACAGCTGTATTTGATTAATATTTCATTAAATTTTTTTATTTTATTTTATTTTTTTTTTATTTCTATCCTAATATATGTTCGTGACTTCTTTCTTGTTCAGCTTGATCAACTTGACAAAATTTTCAAGGTTTTAGGTAAGGAAATATAAAATTGAAATTTGGTAAGGCCTTTCAAAGTTCTGAATCCATATTTGGATAAATATGTTGACATTTCTTTCTTTTACAACATTCTACTTCTTATTATTTTATTTTTCTTATATTCTACTTTGAAAAATTACTCTGTATTTGTTGAATGGATCTTTAGTTTAATCTCTATGACAATATCAGGTCATCCAACAGTAGAAAAATGGCCAACACTTGCCCATCTTCCACATTGGCAAACAGATCATCAACACATCCAAGGGCACAAATAGTAGGTTTCATTTTTATAATTTATTATTATTATCATCATTATTATTATTATTAGTCATCATCTTAATTCTTACACCTATCATTTATTCTCCTTACAGTGATAGTCCTGGTCTTTACAGTGTTGTTCACCTCTCTCCAAAAAATCCCGCATACGATCTTCTCTCTAAAATGTTGGAGTATGTAATAAAATTTTCAATTATATTTATATTGTGTATGTTGAAAAATATTGTTATCAAGTTCAAATCATAACTTCATTGGGTCCCACTTTGTTCTTTCAGATATGATCCTCGAAAACGTATAACAGCAGCACAAGCTCTTGAGCATGAGTCAGCTTCTCCCTCTCTCATACATACATACATACATACATACATACATGCAGAAATTTTGTATCATAGCATATAAACAATATGCAGTATATGATTGTATTTTTTGTATGTAGGTATTTTCGAATGGAGCCTTTACCTGGACGCAAGTAAAAATTCTTTTCTTAAATAAAAATCTAATTTTATAATAATAATATCAATCATTGTAATTAATGAGTAAAAATTGTAACTATAAAAATGGTCAGTGCACTAGTCCCCCCTCAACCCGGGGAGAAAATAGTAAATTATCCAACACGTCCAGTTGACACAAACACAGATTTTGAAGGCACAACAAGTCTTCAGCCTACTCAACAGGTATAAGTATATGATCTAAAACAAGTTGTTATTATTTTTTTTAATCTATTATAATTATTTTTATTTATTTCATTTAAATGAAATATAATTTTTTCAGGCATCAGGAAACGTGGTGTCGGGGGGACAACATGTAATGCCAACTAGAAATGTTCCACGCCCTATGCACATGGCCGGCATGCAGAGGATGCAACAGCAACAGCAGAATATGGCGGCGTATGGTCTGGCCTCTCAGGCGGCGATGGGCAGCGGCGGCGGTGCAATGAATCCCGGAAATATCCCGATGCAGCGGGGGGTTGCCGCCCAGCCTCATCAACAACAGCAACAACAACAGCAACAGGTTTCATATGTTTGTTGAAATAGCAATGTACTTTTATAATTAACAAAAGTACATTACTATTTCTTGTATTTAAGATTTAACAGTGTTGTTTGTGTTCTTCTATGCCTTTATGCAATTTCTTTTTTGGAAGCAGTTGAGAAGAAAGGATGCAATGGGGATGCCTGGATACCCTCAACAAAAATCAAGACGTTTTTGAGGTAATTCTTGTATGAATATTACATTTTTTTTTCCTTATTAAAGTATTGTATTTTGGAAATTCAGTTAATAGCAATTGAAATTAAGAAACGTACATTGCTGTTTCTTACATTTAACAGTTTAGTTATTTTAGTATGCAGGGAACAGGGAAAGATCTGAAGTTATCAAGAGATTTCACTTTTGAGCACCTCAAGTCAGACAAATGCAAAAACCAGATATGCTGTTTTTGAAAATATTTTATTGTTTACAGAAATTACCAGTTTTATATGGTAAGACTGCATATTATCTAATATATAGATATTTATTTATTTAGCAATAGAGAAAACCTCATGTGTCTTTTTCTATTTTCGTGTTTATGGGTAAAGAGGCATTTGCAATTATCTTATATGGCGTTTGGTTTGCTGGATTCCATGGGATTTGGCCGGAATTGGAATTCAATTCCAGTCAATTCCTAATTCTGATTGCAAAAGGATATGGAATTGAATTGTGTGGGAACTCAAGAAATACTTGCATCTAATGGATATCAACATTTCATCCTAGAACCCCATGGAATTCAATTACCAATCATATTCACTTGTTAAAATTACACAAATGCCATGAAGTTGGTTTCTTCTTTTGTTATTGTTAAGTTTTGTAATAATGGTTTTGTGAACAAGAATTAGAAAAAGGTAATTTAAATATTTTTTACAAGTATTTATAACGTTCTGTGAACAAAAAGTTAATAAAGGACAATTTTCTCATTTGTTATTATTTACTTTTCTGGGTCTTGATGGAATTACAAACCAAGTAGATATACACAAAGGAATTGAATTGAATTTCATTCTGTTTTCTACCATCAATAGTGATAAAATTTAATTCTTGCATATTCTAAGTCTTTTAAATTACGTTTTTTTATAGATCTATTTTTTTTTTCTTCAAAACTCTCCGACTCTCAAAATGATTGTTTGATCCCATCTTCTTTTCTTGAAGTAGCAAACATAGTGAATGTGTATAATGATCATTAATTAATATGCAAGTTTATGGATTGTTAAATCACCTAATATATATATATATATATATATATATATATATATATATATATATATATATATATATATATATATATATATATATATATATCAACATACTATACAAAGAAACATATTTATTTTTTGAATAAGCTTTTATAAACTTGTAAACATTTAAAACCTTGAAAAAGGTCAGAATGGTGCTTGTGGTTCATAAGAAGCTAGTTCTTCACTCACAATACGATCAATACAATGTATCGATTCGAAGTAACATGTGTGTTGATGATGATGAAGACAAGGTTGAAAGATATGGTACTGCAATAGACCTAGAGTATATGACTTATTTACTAGATGAAAAATATGGAATGAATGCTTTAAAAAAGAATTGTTATTTTGGGTGTGTGAATTGTTTAATTTGAAGTATTGTAAACTAGAATTATGTGAATTTTAGTGTTTGAAAAAGATTTAAGCTTAATAAAAAAAATAGTTTATTTAAGTTTCAGTTTATTTTAGCATCCTATAAATTAAAAAAAACATACGTCTTTTTTTTCTTGTAGACTGTAGACTCTTAATCCCTACAAATGTGGCCTGCATTCTACATATTTTTTACCTCTTAAAGAAAAACACCACCGGAATGTAACAACATTATATGGCTCTTAGAGATAGGTTACACGAAATCCAGATTATAGGGATAATCCTTCAAGGAACAATCTCAAATCAATGCTATGATGAGAGAGGCCATAAACTAGGGTTTATATACAATTCAAATTCTTCTGATTATCAAAGATAAGTATCAATCAACATTAAATATTGATTTTATCTCATAAATAAGGGATGACATTTTCAAGGATAAGTAATATATTCTGAAAACAAGATTTTTCATAACATTTTTCTAACAAATAAATTTTCGGGTCGGGCACCCATTGACCCTCATCATTTGGTCAAATCAAGATTAAACTTGTTTTATGCAATGTGCGCTCCACAATTCCTAACTTATAATAAAATCAAGAATAAAACTCCATTGATAATATGTAAATTTCATCATAATAAAATAATCTAATAATCCGGTGGGTTGATGACAAAAATCACCAACAATATGTTATATTGCGCTCGTATTTATTTTATCGAATATCTTTGTAAAGGATAATGACTTCAAAAGGTAATATACTTTTTGATTTGTACACATTTGGTCATTAAGTTTTTTTTGTCCACATTTACCCTTTCAACTTATTTAACTATACACATTTACTAATTATTTCCGGCTACTCCAGATAATCCGAAAAGAATGACTTAAAAGGGTAATATAATTTTCACTTTGTATACATTTAGTCTTTAATATTTTTTGCACATTTAGTGCTTAATATTTTTTTTTGTTGCAAAATAAGTATTTATTGTTTTTACACACATTCAGTACTTATGATCGTTTTTTCGGGTTTCATACGTCATCCTAATAAGTACAATCATTAATAAGGTGTTCGGGGGCAGCTAATGGTTATGGTCATTGCGGCCTCGGCTGTTTAGTTGCTTAGTTCTTATGGTTTGGCTTATATCTTATGTTATGAATGTTGTAATTTTTTCATGTGATCACATATTTTAACCATCTTTAAATTCATGTGTTCGTATCTGAATCTAGTATATATTTCTTTTAGATTACTCCCGTTAAAAAATAATATATTTTTACTTAGCATCTTTATATCCATATGTTATTTATGAATGTATATATGAACGTTTTTTTTTTTTTAAATCGTAATTAAAAATATATTGTTTTTTAACGAAAGTAATCTAAAAGAAAATGGTAATAGACACAAATACAAATGTGTGGATATAAAGATCGTTAAAATCTATAATCATATGAAGAAGTCACGGTGTCCAGAACGTAAGACTTAAGCCAAACCACACGAACTAAGCAACCAAGCAACCAAGGTCATAGTGACGGTGGCCATAAGCATGAACAACCTTAGACACCTTATTAATGATTGTACCGCGTAGGATCTAGTGAGAAAAACCTAAAAAAGCGATCATAAGTATTGAATGTGTATAAAAACAACAAAAACTTATTTTGCAATAAAAAAAATATTAAAGACTAAATATGCAAAAAAATATTAAGGATTAAATGTGTACAAAGTGAAAAATATATTAAGTCATTTTTTCCCGCTTATTCAGTGTAGCTAATCATAAGGAGTAAATGTGTACAATTAAACAAGTTGAAGGGTAAATGTGGACGAAAAAAAAACCACGGTGACCAAATATGTACAAATCGAAATATATATTACTCTTTTAAGTCATTATCCCATCTTTGTAAATACTGCATTATGTTTTCTAAAGGGCGTGTTTGGTATAGAGCTTTTCAAAGCGATTACGAGCTTCTAGCTTTTAGCTTTTGACAAAACATTCTAGTTTAAACAAAAACATCGTTTGGTAGTACAAACGTTTAGCTTTTAGTTTAAACAAAACCCTCAAAATCTAAAAGCTACTTCATGTAGCATTTAACAAAACGTTACTGAGCTTTTGAAATCAATTTTCATAATTACATATAGAAATATATTTATATATTCATTTATTTTTAATCAATTATTCTTTTATGTAATGTTATATATTTCAAAAACTTCGAGTTATTTTTGTTAAATACTTATATAACAAATAAAAATACAATTTTCTGTTACCAGTTACCCACTATCCGCTTCTATCTAACAACTACTATTATCAAACACACCCAAAACCCTGTGACACTTGTCTTAAAAGCCGTAAAACAGTAAAAAGAAAAAAAAACATCATAATGAAAATGTAAATATCATACTTATGTTTGAACTTTGAACATGTGAATATGGAGTTTTTTTTCGTTCCAAAAAAAAAAAAAAAAAAAAAAAAAATACAACAAACGAGGACTTTATGCAAATAAGGACAAAGTTAAACCTTAAATGCACATAAAGACAGATGAACATCATCCATTTGCCTTTTTATATTAAAGTATTCAAGTCGACACTTTCCAATAAAACCAACCCATTACCCATCAATGTTTTCTATAATATCAATGTACATGGAGACGGACCTTTCTATTCATATAAAGGATATTTTCATATTAAAACTATGAGGAATTTAGACCAGTCTTCAACTTAAACCGAGAAAAAAAAATAGATGAAAATAAAAAGAAAGTAAAGTAAATTAGTGTTCACAGGTTTTATTAAAGGAAAAATTGGAATAAAATAGAAAATTCACTTTTACCCCTAATTTGTTTTTGATTCGGAAAAATTTAAAGAGATAGAACAAAATGTTTAATTTTTCTTTTACTTTTTTTAAACTCAAAAACATAAAAGATATATATATATATATATATATATATATACTAGTCGTCTACCCGCGCAAAGCATCGGACGACGAATAATTTGATCTCTTTAGAGTTAAAACCATTTTGCATTCACTTCGAGAAATGAATATTAAATGACATTTTTTTTTTCAAGAGTATTACCATACCATATTAAGGGAGTGTTTGGCTAAGTTTTTTTTAAAACAACTTATTAGGTTCTACATCACTATAAGTTAAAAAAATGTTTGGATTAAAATAACTTATTCCGGTGGGGAACCTCTAATACGTTATTTTTTCATAAGTTACCCTACACTTTTTTTTTTTTTTTTTGAAAGAATTAGAAAGTTACCCTACACTTATTAACTTATAAGCTAATAAACTAATAAGCAATAATTTTTTTTTTACCAAACACCCCCTAAATGGTTATTACTTCCATTTATACATACTCAAACCACTTGTACTGTTTATCATCCTCTTTTTTTTTTCTTTTTTTTTTCGTTTTCTTTAATTCCTTTATTAATTTAATGTCCTATTAAGTAAAATACTAAAATATATAAATAATAGTTTATAAAAATAAATCTTTAGAATATCAGGTGTTGTGATTCAAAAGTCGATAAATAGGCCTTTGAGAAGGTCAAAATACTCGGGTGTCAACTTGTTCATTGTGATTTTAAACCAAGTTTGGTCACAAATTAAAATATTTTCAACGATGGTATGTAATTCAATAATTCATATTGATTTAGGTTCTCGAAACCTTAAAATATTGAACAAAATCTATATAGAACCTTATAATAAGGACAATAATCATCGTAATCAGGAAGTTCATGTGATGAAACTTGATATTATAAGGACCAATGATGAAAAAGGTTTCATTTTTAGACTAAATAAGATGAAAAATACACAAACTACCTTAATTATATCAAATCTTGTGTTTACCGTTCTTTATTGCAAAAGTAAGATGTCAAAATATACAAACTAATGATAATACAATGCTCTAACTGGCCCTCTTGGTTGAGTTCTTTGAACCTGCAAAGCCAACACATTAAAGAAACATAGTAAAAACCTTTTTAGGAACAAACCTGATATAATAAAGTCTTCACCCAATATATTTATAAGATAAATATACAAAAAGTTAAAAATGATG